CAGTTACGTGTATTGGCAGTACCCAGAAACACTGGTTATAAAACAAAATATATTACAAAAAATATTTTAAAAGTTCATTCTGCAGGCTTGTGTCAATCAGGTTGTTAAGTGTTCACTAAATGAAGGAAATCTACTTAAAAACTGACCTGGAAATGAATGTGGAATAGAAAATATTGCAGTTTTAATAATTTGTTTTCTGACAATATTTTTTGACCTGCAAGAAAGTTTGATGACATTGCATTTATAATCAAATATAATGCAAAAAGTTGAAAGCCCCATAAAAAACATTACAGATTTAGTTGATTTAAAGGTGGACATTTTTTATACAACTGTGGCAGGCAAGTAGTGCTTCAACCAAAAGGATAACATTAAAAACATACTCATTGTAAAGTTATAAATCTGCAGTTTTTTCTCATATCAATGGTTAATCTGTCCTTACTTCTACCAGTTCTAAGCTAAATTTATAAATGACTGCCAACAACTGTGTACTTCTATGTTGCCGTCCATAAAAGATGCACGTGGGATCAAGAAATTCCAAAAATTTGATATATTAGTTTTTGTTAGTCTTATTAGGCCCTTTCACTATAACATTTTACACAACTTATGCCAACTTATAAAAGTAATACATTTGATCAATTTGTTCATTATACATTATGTACACACCTAAAAGAGGTTTCTAGTTGATCTTTTTAATTCCATCTTCAATTTTCAGGTCTTTAAATTTTTCACAAGTTAGCACAAATTGTCAAAAACATTATAGTGTGACAGGGCCTTTACACTGAATGTGAACTCACAATTCAGAATTACTTATCATTGTATGTGGAAAAAAAACTACTCGTTCAAACTGCACAATCTTTTTTATGTTTGATTTCAAAGTTTGCAATAAGTACCTTCAATCAAAAGTTTGAACACACCTACTTATTTCTGAGGCATATCCAAGGTTGGCACTAGGGGTGTAACGATACAGCGATCTATATCGATTTGAATGGTTCATGATTCAGCTATATCGAGGCAAAATGAAAATATCGATCTATATCGTCATCATATGCTCAATGTGAATTGATATCATCCGCCCATCTAACACATTCATTGTGTTAGATGGGCATATGATATCGTGTTATATCAACTGCAGACGTGAATTGAATTAAATCGAAATCGTTTCGTGACAGACTTTGTGATATCGAGAAATATGGAATTGTCATCCAAACATGTCGATGTAATATCGTATCGTGATAAAGCTGGTGATTTACACTCCTAGCTGGCACTGGAGTGTTTGAGACTTTTGCAGTTTTCACTACATGCAAACCCAGCTGGCTCAGACAGGTTTCCTTCATAAGTTAGACAATATGAGAAAATATTCATTAAATGCTCAATTATATGTAACTCGCACAAAAAAAAAAGAAAAAAACTTTGACAGCTCAACATTTGTGATGCATGAAAAACTGTATTTTAAACACTTTAATACAGTCCTGCAGTACACAGGATTTCAGTGTTTGATCATCAACCATGACAATCAATTTTCTTTTTATTTTGTTTCATTCATCCCGGTCATATTTAGGAGTTTTTAGTGGCACAGATACAATTCTGGTGGATTCCAGTAAAAATATATATAAAAAATAAAAATTAGCAGCAACATCGTTGCTACCTGGATGCATCAGGGATGAGTCTTTTAAACCAGCGACCCACGGCCACGTCCACTCTCAGCACTAACGTGACTCCGATCAGCAGGGATGTGCTGCTCACCAGGAACCCCAAAGCTTCAAACATTAACCTGGAAGGACAAACACAAAACATGCAGATGATCAAACTACTTCAGCCAGGTTCTTTTAAATCCATTGAAGATATTGACAACATAAAAAATTACAAAATTAGGAAATAGGCTGCGAATTATAAGGAACGCTTACATTCTTACATTCCGGTGCCCATATTCTCGGAAGACATTACTATCATTTAGATTTTGTGAGTTGAAAAAAAAAATCCATTCAGGCACTTACTTGGGTGCAAAAACCTTCCACACCATTAAGTGTCTTCTGAGAATAGCAGCAGCACAAACTGATGAGAAGACCTGCAAAGAAAGGTGAGACACTGTGTGATGCGCCACTGAATCATTTACTAAAGAACATGATTAAAAAAAAACATAAAGCATTACCCTAAAATAACAACTTAATACCATCTCATTTTCTTCTCAGCTAAGTCAAGTCTTACATTAGTGAGAAAAGAGGTGTAAGAAAACACTTGGGTTGGATGCCCGATTAATATACAGAGAACCCAGTTAGTTCTTAGTCAAATGTTCAGATCTAAAGACTCCATTTCACCCTCACAGCCTGTGTGTGGACCTAGAAGTCTAAAATAAAACGGCCACATGCTTACATGTCCTTAGAATATTTATAAAAAAAACCTGGTCACACCATGACGATGGTGCCWTTTACATCAGCATTGGAATGTAAATAATTACATGTACATCCTGTTGGAGTGAGGCACATATTATCACTGTTTAAAGTAATTATATAAGATTATTATGTGCTTTGGGTACATTTTATTTACCCTTTTCCCCCATATTGTTTTTATATTTAGATATTTTTGGTCCTGGGTTCAAATCCCGGACGAGCCCCCATAAATGTGTTATGGCTCAAAAAAGAGTCACAACATATCTAGAGAGGACACAGAACCAAAATTCAGGTTCAAACATTTTGGTTTTATTAATTATTCTGGACTTTTATYCTTCCTGGAACCATGCTGGGAAAAAAATGGAATCAAAACCTTGCTGCAAGAGAAGGAAAAAAATATGAACCTTTTTCTACCCATGCCCAAACCAACAAAAAACTACATACATACATACATACATACATACATACATACATACATACATACATACATACATACA